AGAGAGAGAGAGAGAGAGAGAGAGAGAGAGAGAGAGAGAGAGAGAGAGAGAGAGAGAGAGAGAGCATTTTAAGGTTCTGTCAAGTGGATGGGGGAGGGGTTGGGGAGATTAGTTTGAGCGAGTGGGGTGGCTTTCTGATGAGGAATTCATCTGGGTTAGAACGAGCGTGGCAGGACTGGCTCGGGACGTGTTTCGTGCTGGTTTGCTGCCGAAAATGTCGTGGATGCAGTGGGAGCAGTTTTTCAAGAGTTGCAGTTGTGTGGGCGCATCGGAATGAGAAGGTAGTTTTCTTAATGCTGCAAACAGCAGTTTATGGCAGGTCTTATTGAAGCTGTCAGTTGAAAAGAGGGTGGAGAGAACTCGGTTGGAGAAGGTAATGGTACATCGTATGTAGACCCTAGAGGGATGTGGTGTTCCGACACGGTGGAATCCAAGTGCGTGCAACCTTTACGATTTCTACGGGAAGGTACTTTCACTGATCAGCCAAAGTTGAACTCTCCAAATGGGGTTCATGTGGATTCGAACGGGTGACGAGTGTACCAACGGAGCTAGACGAGACCCATTGAGGTAGGTAGTATGATTGTGTGGGAGGGAAGGCGCTTGCGGTGATCATCTTTTGGATCTGCCGACGTAAAAGTTGTGCAATGGTTCCATCTGTATCTGAGCTCCAGTCCGTCTGTATTTCAACGGTTCGTGTATGTGTGCGGAGTGAGCAGCACCTGTTGGCTAGGTAGCATGATTTCGGGGGAAGGCGCTTTCGACGGATCATCTTTTGGATCTGAGGCGTGCATGACGTCTAAGGTACTGTACGTCAGAGGGAGTCGGAAAGCAGAAAGACGGCCATTACAGAGTTGAGAAAGATGGCCCACAAAGGTGGGAGGAAGAATGGTGTAGTGGGGGAGAAAGATGGTGGGTGGAGGGAGGCAAAAGAAGCAGAAAGAGGGAGAAGGAGAGCAGAAGAAGAAGAACGCCGAGGAGGAGAAGAAGGAGAAGAAGAAGAAGCGGTGAGGGCTGTTGGCGTACTGCACAGCAAAAGTGGGAGTGGGAAATCTGTCTTTTGCTCCGAAGACTGTCATTGTAAACATGAGGGTGTGGCACTGTGGGATATGGAACTGGATCTGAACTGCTATCGGTGCCAAAGTGTCTAAGTGTCTTTTGCTTATGCTTTCTCAGTTTGTTCTATTCAAACTTCAATCAACGAGTTGGGAGGCGCATGCATTTGAGGGCAAATTCGATTCGATTGCAAGGACATCAGGAAGTCTGCATGTTGTATGGTGCTTCTATTTATTGCTTTCAGCTGTTTTCGCTGTATCGCGGTTATAAAGAAGTGAAGGTCTTCGGTTCGCAGGGCGTGGTTTCATTTCATTGTCTTCGTCCTTTCGGCTGCGATGATTTTGAAAGCTAGTTCAATGCTATGCGATAAGCAACATTCCGTGCTGGTGCGCAACGCCTGCGGATTGAACGCTTAGCATACCCAGGCACTCTTTCACTCAGACTTGACGTTTGGTTATGCGGTTGGCAGAGACGCGATTATATTGCCAATCGAGGGCCCCATGCTATGCGGCGGACCCACTGGGAGCGTGTTTTGAATTTGAAATCTGAAGATAGCATGCTTGCTATACACTCTTGAACGGAGTTCTGACTGTACGTTTTCTATGCGGCGGATCCACGGGTCCCGTGCTTGCCATGCGGCGGATCCACTGGTTGCCAGGCTTCTCCTAAGAGGACCTGGAAGAGGTGCAGGAAAGGTGTCTCCCTCTGCTGCTTTATAGGAGGGACCCGGGCGGGACAGGAAGGACGCGGGGAAAACCGCAGCGGTTCCCGATGGCTGTCCGGTGCTTCGACTTTTGAGATAAGATGATCGATCTTCCTTGCTTTACGGGGATAGAGGAGGTTTCGCCGTTTCAGGAAAGTTGTTAGTGCCTGAGGAGTTGCATTGTCTGCCCGCTGGAAGTCGAGATGTTCATTTTTTAAAAAAAGTAGTGCAAGTCGCGATGCCCTGAGCTTGTGGTTGAGTCACTTTCCGGCGATTTGCTTCGGAACTTCAAACGACGGTTGTCGAACTGTGAAGCCGAGTTGGGACAAAAGAGAGGAACGTTAAAACCAAATGGGACTGGAGATGAGAGACATTTGCTCACCGTTGATGTTCTGCGAGTCCGTCTGAGGAAGTAGTTGTTGTGAAAGTATCGATGCGGTGAGTCAGCAGCACGTCCGGCGTGCAAAGGGCGTAACAGGGGGGAAACATGGACCTTCCTTTTACTGGCAGCGTGTTGCCCCGGCTTTGGAAGAGTCTGTGAGAGACCGGACCGGATTATTTGGCTTACTTGGGGGGGCAGCGGCAGGGCAGGGAATTGTAGGTGCAACCAGCTGGGATTACTGTGCTGCTGTGTGTGGAATCAGCTTTATCAATTTTGATTGCCTGTGGAAGGTGGGTCGGTTTGTTAAGAGCGTACTTGCATGGATTGTGTGGTAGTTTCATTGGATTTGGCTGCAGTGGCCTTCCTGTGTGTGTGAACCTCTGTCTCCACGTGCTGATCCTTCCGTATGTGCTGAGTCGGTTCCGTGCCTTTTTGCATTCTTGTTGGGTGTGAAGCAGTGCTTGCTTTGGAGAAGGGCGCATCCCACTTTTCATGCTTGCCACATGGACTCTTGGACGTTGCCATTACCTGATGCTCTCATACATGTCAGGGCGGAGGGAGCAGTTTGCTTTGCTCATCCTGAATGGGGTTTTCTCCTGACGTTGGGACAGTTTTGCTGTCGCTCGTGAATCACCTCCCCTCCTTAGGCGTGAAGTCACGTCCGCCGCTTGATTCTCTTTGTTGTTTCTTTTCTAAGGTTCTCTCCTAAAAGTGGTGTCAATAGTTTAGCAGTTGCTAAATAGAGTGATAGGCGGCGGGGTCGTGGCGTATGTATCGTTTCTTAGGGGCAAGAGAGATACTGAGTGAAAGAGAGGGAGAGAGAGAGACGGGGGGGGATGGGG